TACGTCTTCAACACCAGTGAGAACTTTGTACTGCACTTTCAGTTTGCAAGATCTCCCTTCTGATGAGCAAAAAAAACACTTAAAAACTGACTAGGGTGGGTTTGGTGGTATAATCTGAGATATTAGAACAACGTATTCTCTATGTAAAGCTAATATGACAACAAAGACAGGGATACCCATGTCACTGGCAGAACCCAAAATATGAGAAAACACTCAGTTTTAAGGGTCCAGGAATTTATTCTTTTTTTTTATAGGCCTGGCATGAAAACCAATAGTGCTATTTTTTCCATCCATCTTTCACATAACATCCTTTCTAAGTATCTTACATATTCACACACCAGAGAGCCTTCCTCCATGGTGGTTTTCATTACCTTCACTACCCTGACAAAACACTAAAAGGGAATTAAGAAACACCAGGTGAACCCCAGGTATCTTCATCAGGGCTGTCATTTACTAGCTAGGAAATGATGCCCCAAAATGCTGAGCTATCACTTGATGACAATTAATTCCCAATAGTTGATTGCTTTAAGGAAGATGATCAATTTAAACTAATATTCTCACTGATACAATCACCTATATCATATTACACGATCACCTGTATCATATGACAATTTCCACTTACTTTCAGGCTTCGCATCTGCTGCTGCATGGCGCATACTTTTTAGCTGGTTTTGTATTCTTTGTAGTCTCTGCACTGCATGAAATAGCTTTAAAATACAATTTAAAAACTCTATTATTTGCTTGAAACCTACCACTCACAAAGACAAGCAATGAAAAATACAAGTTCCACATAATTCTTGTGATATAAAAGGAACAAATAATAAGAACCAAGGAAATTATTATGCTAAACCAAAAATTTAACTGGTTCTCTCAATATCTTTTCATGTAACACTTAAAAAAAAAAAGCTTTTAGAAATTTTTCTTTATTTGTTGAATTAGATGATCAAAGAAAAATACCTGTTAAAGAAATACATGCACCAGGCTTTTCTTGTTAAAACACAGTTTTCTCAATTCTAAGGAATGCTAGCATTCTCTGAAATCACGTCTCAGAATCAGAAGCTGATGCTAAGTAAACCATTCAGGGCGTGGGCAAGGCAGCTCACTGCTGCAGTGTAACTATTCTGATGCCAAGTCAAGTTCCAAAAGAGTCAAACACCTAAACTACCCGTTTCGTAGGAAGTGAAGCTGATTTGATATGTATTTTTAATGTACAAGTCTACTCAGTTTTAAGATAGATTTTTAATAAAATAAAAGAAGCACTTCCTAGACAAATTATTTTTTCTTGAAGGCAAAGTATAAAAACATGGACTGTGTGTGATTTTGTGTCTTTTCACAAAAGAATAAAGAATACTGTGATCAGTGGAATAAAATGAATGCTCTCATAGCCCCAGAATCTCAGGATACCCTTTAGAGATTCTAGAAGCTTTATTCACAGTTAATCTTACTGCTTAACATTACAATGAATATTCTGCAATGTTGGAACAACATGAGTTAAGCGTAGACCAAAAGATAGTGTATAGATACATACAGAGGATACAGAACCCCAAAGATGGTATTGTTTCTGCTGTTGGTGGCACAAAATACCTTAAAAGAGTATTCTATCATGTTAACAAAGGGAAACAGGAGCTTCCAGGATTCTAAAAATCTTTACATTTGAATGATCATGAGAATATAAACTTTTATGTGGATACCTGATTCTTTTGTTCCTGTTTCTGTTGGGCAAGAAATTCTTCTCTCTCTTTCTCAACTCTAAGTTGTCTTGCTATTTTAAGCATCCGTTGATGATTCTGAACTGTTTCCACCTACAGTATGGGAATAAGTAGTACATGTTACTGTCAGGTTTAAGACAGACATTAGGAGGTAACAAAACTCAGACTTCCACTTATCATTTCCTTTTGGTAAATAGTATTCCCTAGAGATGACACGAAAGTTCCAGACTCCAGGTCCTTAAAAGTTCTGGGCTACTGCCCAGGGAGATTCCCTTCCCATCAATGTTATTTGAGTCCATCCTTAGATGTACACTCATGCCTTGTTTAATCTTTATTTGCATTCCTAAATCTTTGCAAGTCCTTAGGACTTGGGGCCAAAGTCTTACAGTGCTAGCTCTTGCCTTACCCTTTTCTTCAAACGTTCAACTCTCTTAATGAGCTGATCCTTTTCTTCCTCCATCGCACTGATATCCTAAAAAATAGTCAAGAAGACATTATAAGGAAAAGTATTCTTCATCTGTAGAATTCAAATAAGGTTTTTATATGATTATGCATCTTCCATTTTCTTCACTTACAACTAGAGCATTAAGCAACCAAGATCCCCTTTTAGATAAAGGGCATTTCTGTCCCCCAACCAGAGTTCTTTATTTGGCATCTTGGTGTTCATCTAGAAAAGCAACTAAAACAGGTTATAAAGTAGCAAGGTAAAGCTACCAATTGGCACATTCGTATTCTGATTTCATTATAGGCACGAGATTTTCCAAAAATTTTCTACAATGGAAAGTGTGCAGGTCTAAAAACATGAACAACAGCTGCTGACATCCCATTTGCTCTGTTAAATATCAAACTATATATTCTGCCAATTTTCCATCAAAATTGTTTTTAAGACTATGGTGTTTTCAGGACATAAATTTGTGTCTGGCTTTTGTCAATTAACCAAATTCCTTTCTATAAATAAAGACTTCAAACAAACCACCTTTCTTTTAATCAGCTCCACAATATTCCCAGTAAAAACAACAAAAAAAAAGTCCTTACCAAACCCCAAAACCTAATAAGCTAAGTCTCACAGTAATACTAAAATGAAAAATATACATGGTAGTCAGTATTGATACAGTTTGGGGAAATAGACACTGTTACTCCCTACTGGTGGCATTGTATTGAAGAACAATATCAAGTCTTAAAATAAATGTGCATACTTTCTGGCCCAGTAACTTCACCTCTGGGACTCTATAAGGATTGTCTTAGGTGCTATTTATATCTAAAAATTGGAAATGACCCAATTGTTTGAAGATTATTAAGTAAATTATGTCACAACACAATGAAAGTCACTAAAAATTATGCAGAAAAATGATGACTGACATGATAAAAAGTCATGATATGACATTACTTGAAAGAAGCAGGCTATAACATTTATTTATAATACAATACCAAGAAAAAGGTTTAAATGTATTCACTAAAATATAAGTAGTAGTTATTGCTAGAGCATGGAGTTATGAATGAACTATTTTCTACTTTTAGCTTAATCATATTTCCTTACAAAGAATATGTTAAAAATAATTTGGTAATAATTAACAAAATTAAAATTACAGAATCTAGGTTATTTTATCATTTCAGTTCACTCACATGACATAATAGAGGAACAGGAGATGAACATCTATCTCTTATTCCATACTTTTTTATAAGTATCTACTCATGGGTCTTTCTCTTGCATTAGATGTGAGTTCATCTTTCACATCTAGTATATTCAACAAACTCTTACTGAGAACCTACCATATGCAGGGCACTGTGATAGGCACTAGGGATATAGTGGTGAACAAGATACACAGACATGGTCCTTGCCCTCATAGGGTCTGAATATAGTTGGGAAAACAGACATTAAAATAATCATAATTGTAATCAATGTTACAAAACAAAAAGAATTGGGGGAACTAATCTATCTGAAGAATCTGGGAAGGCCTCCCTGAGGAAGCAACTAACATTAGAAGTCCTGATTAAATGAGAAGATAAAGTTTTTATTTCTAAAAGTACAAAATCTATGAAAGTGAGAATTAGCAAGTCTTTAGAGAAAGAACTTATATGCCTGGTGAGAATATAAAGATATTTTTGGAGAACATTAAGTAACATGCATCAAAAGTCCTAAAAGTTCTCATATGCTTTAATAAGAATTCCAATTCTAGAAATTTATTCTAAGGAAACAATCACAGATATCCCAAAGTAAATTTATGTAGAAGATAATCAGAGCGTTATCTATAACAGCAAGAAATGAAAACAAAACACTAAAAATGGTTAAACTATCTGTACCATGGAGTATTATTTAGTCATTAAAAATCATATTGTAGAAAGATAACCATGGGAATATATTCACAATGTAATGATTAAAAAATAATAAGATACAAATAATTATGGATACAGCGTGATCCCAAATACACACACACATACACACACAAAACCTGAAAGGATATAGTACAACAAAGTGCTAACAATTGGATTTTTTTCCTTCTTTGTTCTTTTTTTTTTTTTTTTTTTGAAATTTTTTCTGAAATTTCTTTGAAGATAAGTTTTTTGGTCACAGCTGCATAGATACAGAAATACATATCTAATATCAGATTTCAGGATGGAATTGGCAGGGTAGATTGCTGGCAGTATATTTCTAGTCCTTTGTTAACATTATTTTAAAAGTCTTCCAGTAATTTTTCCAAGTATGTGCTATCATGATTTTTTTTTCCTTCTTTGTTCTTTTCTCTATTTTCTATAACATATATCCAATGTATATATGTTAGATAAAGACCCAAAATTAAATTACTTTTAATCCATGGTAATGGTCTACATAGTGCATAAGAATCCATTATGAATTCACCCTGGCCTCATTAATTTCTTCAGTAAAGAACAAGCAAATGCCCTACAAGAGAAAATCTGCCATTTGCTATCACTAGTTTCCATATAGTCTTAAGACTCATACTGAATTAACTAAAAATAAAATTGCTAAATCTAATATTATTCAAATCCAGAAAAATTATGATGCTTTTTTTTCCTTTACCCTTCGTATTTCTGCTGTAGAAAATCCAGATGTCTTGAGCTGTTCACATTCTTTATGCAAAGTTTTAAAGGCTTCCATCAACTCTTCATACTAAAAGAACAAGTTGAAAAAATGATAATGACTAGATTCAGTAGGCTTTTCTTTTTTCTATTTTTTATTTTTATTATTTTTAGTAGGCTTTTCTTAATAAAGTTATCTATTAACCTACAGTGATTACTTAAATCATTATAGAATAGCATTAAAATACATCCTTAAACATTTATATAGGACACAAAAAAGTAGGTGTATATTATCCAGTCACTAAAGACTTCTCTGGTTACTTTCCTAACTCACATTCTGTACTCTAGCCATGTTGGTATTCTTTCAATCCCTGGAATAGTCCATACTCCCATCTTTGATTTCCACACCCTATTCCTCTGAGAATACCTATGACCCCCCCCAGGCTGGGTATCTCTTATTCATCCTCCAGGTCTAAGCATAGACCTCACTATCCTCAAAGAGCCTTCTCTAGCCCTGTATCTATCCTATATCAGAGTATCATGATATAAGAGTAAATACCGTATAAAATTATAATTGCTAGTTACTTGTCTGCCTCCCTCCTTTAGACAGTGAGAGCCAGGAGGACAAAGATCATATTACTCATGTAGACTTCTGTATCCCTGGGGCCTAGAATAGTGCATAACTGATATAAGTTTTCAATAAAAAATAGCTGAATGAATGAAAAAAATCTCAACTCTTATGCAAAAATTTTTTAAATAGTATTTTTGGTGGATAATGACAGGAAATTAATAACATTTTTTCTTCACTGATAATATCCTGCAAATCTGTAAATCAATCATTCTAAAACTCTTCATTCAGAAAGACAATGTGCATTTTTAATCAGGCTCTCTGCTAAATGACTGGCTAACTGTGTAAGTTATTTTATATACACAACTCAAAAGATGCTTCAAGAACAAACATGTCTTTATTATTATTAATTCTCCATTAATAATTAGCTGGGCATATTTAGAAAAAACTATTAATAAACTTCCTCCAGAGGAATTAGTTTTTATCCAATTTATTGATGGGGGATGGCAGGGAAGAGAAAATACTTCATGTTTTCACTTCTCTATTTCTCACATAATGTAAAGTCTTCAAAGTAAGGGCTGTAGTGGTCTCATTCTGCTGTACTTTTCTCATGGCTTCTAATGTAAAGTTTGACATAATTATTTGCATAAACCTTTCAACCCTAGAAATGTCTTAAGACATCAATACTGACTCTTTTGAGTGACCACCATGGCTATGCAAAATAACATAATATATGGATGAAAATTCAACATTCAGTTGATCATTTTGTTTCAATGAAAAATTTTGGGCACATACCATATAGAAGCAACCCTACAAAACCCTGGAGAAAAACAAAGATGGATAAAACATGATACCTGTCTTCATAGACCTCACAATCCATTGGGGAGAGAGACTGACAAACTGTTCACAACATACGGGCACAAATAAGTCCACATACCCACTATGGAACAAAAACACAAAGTGCTAAACAGAGGTTTTTTTTTTCCCTTCTAAACCAAAGTCCTTTCAAACCTTAAGCCTGAATCCTCTCCTTCCATAATCTTTGATGGGCAATGCTTTGAAATCCCAGGACTAGGAGTGAGCCCAGCCAGAATCCTGAGCAGTCAAGAGCTTTAAGACCTTAAGGCAAGAACCCAGTATCACCCCAAAACTCTGGTGAGGAAAGAGCACTGAAATTTCAAATTCCTGGTCCTTTCTCTACCTTCTGCCTGCTTGGGACCTTCTTTTGAGAGCACAAGCCTGGCTTCTTTGCCTACACACAATCTTTAAAGGTGCTCACATGTCCCAATTTAACTGGGGTAGTGTCAGTTCACATCTCTTGCTCTGGTGTAACTTTTTTTTAATTTTATTTTATTGAGTTATAGTCAGTTTACAATGTTGTGTCTGGTGTAATTATTTTGATAGTCCTTTTTCTCTCTGATTTGGATGACAAATTGTAATAGTCACTAACTGATCAACAAAGTGCTCTGCAGTTCCAAGTCCAGGATCCTATCTACCCACATTTCTTAAACAATAAATTAAATTTTAAAATCCTAATTTTAGGGTTTTTTCCTAACCACATACTTTAATCATCAAAATGGTATTTGTGTGCAGTCAATATTTTCATACATGATTACAGTTGAACGTAAGCTGATAACTATTTTACCTTGGTGCCACAGGTAATAAGGATAGCAAATAAACTTAAGAGAGATCAACATATATTTCAACATGTACACCTTGCAACCCACTACAGATAGCTTAAAAACACCATTTATATATTATATACCTGTTTATTGGTATCAGCCACAGTTTCATCCTGAAGAAACTCACTTGGTACCTCAAGTTTTATTAAAAAACGAGCTAAATATGCTCTTTTCTTCAGTTCATTAGTCCTCTGAAGAAGCCAGTGGAGCACTGGATAAATTACAGGTTTACTTCCAATCACCAGGCCCTGACGAAAGGTACTCCTATAAAAAGAAAATAAACACACAGAGGCTTGTAAGTAAATCTTGAAAAGAGATTAACAATTGCTCAAAATCCAATTTACAATTTCCTGATGACTTTCCATGACTCCTTTTAAAAAAAATAAAACCAAGGCTATTCTAAAGTCAGTCTGCACATTAACAATTATAAAATTAGGCCCACAATATATCACTGGAATATATGGGGAGGTTGCTTTGGAACCATTAACTGGCGTGGTCAGCCTTAATACTTCACTTCATTTACTGGGCAGCTTTAAGTTATTGTTTTATGGTAGATAAATGAAAAAATGGAATAGTGGATTTGCCTGACTTTTCTGATTAGGAGAAAGAACTGACCCACTTAAGACGTCTGTGTGACAAAATAACATTAAAAGTTCAAGATTATTTTGAAATTCAGCGATGTTTTTGAGGCCACTGACTTGGGGAGAACAGGTATTGCCTAGAAAGACTGACTGTAGCCTATGAAGGTTTGGCTACTAAAGCACAGCTCTAAGAAAGCATCACTTGATCAGATTCTTACATGTCCGTGGCATTTCCTGGAGGTTTGTATTTAAGGATACCAAGAAGGCTCAACATCCGTTTGGCTGTCTGCTCTGGCATCTCCTCTCGGATATCCACAACTTGCTAACAAATAAAGAAATTGAAAAAAAAAAGTTGTTATTGTATATCTAACAAAGAACAATATTTAATCCCACTGACAAAATAGTTCTGCTAGAGCATAATAGTCACAATGGGGTCTCTTCATAAAAACAGATCAAGTATGGAGGCCCTAGATTCCAAGTGAGGGTACACACAAGTCAAATCAGGATTCATATTATGAAGGTCAAGTTTAAAAAAGCCTCCAGTGGAAAAGGCCGGTGTATGAGAGACATGAGCTAACTTGCAATACAATAAAACCTTTTGTACAAGCACTTTCATTCCAGGACCAAATCTATTTATGTTTGGAAGCAGACAAATAATTTCTAAATAAGGTACAAGTAGATAATTTATTTTTGAGGTAGTAGAGAAAACTTAAAAGTACTATCATTTTACAGGCATGAAAAATTAGGCCCAGAGAGGTTAAGTAATTTGCCCAATACTCACAGATATTTAGTGGCAGAAACGGACTTTCTTGCTGCCCTTTTCATCACAGAGAAAGAGAAAATTCTTACCTTTGGGTCAATCTCAGCCAGAACATCATTGAGAACTTGTAATAGTTGCATTGGCTCCAGGGAATCAAATGTGATTAAATTATAGTTCTTCCTAAAAGGCTCCTTATTGAGATTGTCCACGATGAATTTGATTTGATCACTCATAATTAGGCCTTATAATTTAAACTAAAGAATAAAAATACAGGAAAAAAAATCCAATTTGTTGGTAACAAAGTTCTGTGTTAACAAAATACAGTAAACAAAAAATCAGTATTAAGTTCATAAGAAGTAGGCATAGAAAGTATAATTCTACATGGCATGCAAACTGCTGTGGAAAGGATTATTTTGTTGAAAGAAATTAGAGTATGCAGACTTTATTATAAATACTGTTAACACTTAATGCTGTGTGTTTTTATATATGCATCTGGTGTAATAACAATCACATGAATTAACATCAAATTAACATAGACAAATGAATAATAAATCCCACCTACACTAACATTTCTCCCATTCAGCTCCACAACTTCTACTCAAGGATAAAAACTTGTTAGCCTGTAGACATGCTTCTAATTTTTTTCTTTATTAGCAGTCCACATTAATCCAAATTTCCAATTTCTCTTGAAAATCAGATCTGGCAACCCTGGGTCCAGTTGGTATAAGGCCACAGCCGAATGAAACTGGGAAGAGGCTGCAAGCTTCAGTCTGGGTATGTGCTTTTCGGGTGTGTTTTGTTTTCCTCCCCTGCTACTCTTTACTCACTGATGTTATTGGCTTGGCCTTGTAGGCACTGACTCTAGTAACTCAGGCCTTCATCTCCTTTGCCTTCAATAGTTTGGGTCTCTGCCTCTCACATTCCAAATCATTTGTAGGCTTCTGACTGCCTACAAAATAAAGTCCAAAGTCCTGGATTTTGAGACTCTTTTAAGATCTAGCTCAATTTCACCTTTCCTGATTTTATTTCCAAATTGTTACCTTTCACCCTTTCAAACTTCAGCTAAAATAATCACTGCTCCCTAAATAGTTTCTCCTCCTCTGCCTTCAGTTAATACCGTTTTCTCTGCCTAGGACTATAGGACTATTCTCCTTCCCCCGCCGCCCCACCCTCCAGAGGTTAAATCCTACCTTTCTTTCAAGCCCTGCCCTCCAAATGCAAGTTCCTCCAGGAAATCGCTGCCCTCCACGTTCTGCATCAGAATAGCAGCACCTGCCCTCCAAGTTGACCACTTTATCAGTACTGCTCTCCTGGAGTTACTTTTCTATTTTGTACTAGTTACTACTGTACAGTTTCTCTTCTCTATTAAACTGTAAATTCCATGAGGACATATCTGCCTAATTCTCTCTCTGTATACCCACTGCATCTAAAACAGTGGCTTCTTCTGTTAGACTTAATGAATTTGTTCACAGGCCCAAGGTCAGAAAAAAACATAAGCCTAAACAGGGTGGCAGTGAGAAAGATCATAAATTTTTAAAAACATTGATTATCTGACTAATTGTTGAAACAGCTTAACCAAGACTCCTAATGTTTCTTGCATGTTTAGTATGGGAATAAGTGGTAGAAAGTTGCAAGCAAGCAATTTTTTAAACCAGCAATTTTTTAAAAATGAATTAAAAAATGAACTGCTACAGAAAGAAAGAAAGAAAAAAAATACTTCAGTGATCCCTAATAGTTTTGAATCATGAATGAAGAGATGCCATTTTATGTAAGATATTAGTTGGAGCTGCATGAACCTTGCTCTGAAATAGATTTTTTTACATTCAGTGGGTGGAGCTGGATATTTAGAAAACATCAAAATGTATAAGTATTATCATTTCCCTATAATTATGATAATATTATGAGTAAATGATTATTATTGCTGAAAAATAAGCCAGAAGATGGTAGAAAAGATAACCAATGCAGTTTAATGTGAAGTTTCCTTCAAGCTGTAAAAGCAAAACCTTTGCATAAATTAAATAAAAATCCACATTGGAGAAGCAATTTTTCCACTGTTGAAAGTATTTTATATAAAAGTCCATGTCACAACCTTCACACATGATATATTTAATTTTTAGGTGGAGGGGCATAGCTCAAGTAGTGGAGTGCTTGCTTGGCATGCACGGGGTCCTGGGTTCAATCCCCAGTACCTCTTCAATAAGTAAAATTAATTACCTCCCCCCCAAAAAATAAAAAATGAAGTGACATATTTTAAAAATTTTAAAAATCATTTAGGCGTTATATATGTAGAAATTACATATATAAAACATAACATATACACACAAATATATATTCTTTTTTCCTTTTCCAAAAAACAAAACACTTGGATAAACGAGTAAAATGTTACCAGGAAAAGAAACTAACTGCGTTTCCCACCTAGTTGCCCACCAGCTTTCAGATGGTCACCCGCTAAGGACAAAGACGTACTGAACAGGTAGGTTGTCTATGCCCAGTGGGCTCTGGGTTCTAAAATTAGCAAAAGCAATTACTCTTCCCTCTTCTAGTGGAAAGCTGCCACACTAATTCACAAGCACTCACCCACATAAGAACCTGAGGGGGTGGGGGGAAGAATTAAAACCAGGACAGGCGTTTATCTGGCACAACTCGGGACAGAAACGATATTGCCCTGGTCCCAGAGTCGCAAGAGCGCTGGACCCGCAGCCTCCTAAGACTCCCCAAAATAGTGTCCTCACCCCTCTGCCCCCGAGGCTCGGGGAAGGGGACCACATACGACCCAGGAACCTCGCGGGTGCTGCTCTGGGCCCCATGACGGTTCATCCTGCCAGGGAGCGCCCTGGATCACCTCGAGGCCCCACAGGGGCTGACCCCCAATGTGGGGGCTTTGCTGCGACCCCTTCACTTGCGAGGTGTGGTGCTGAGAAGGGAAAGAGGAGGGGAGCTCGCTCGCTCCTATTTCGGGGTTCGGGGGAGTTTCCGAACGCGGGTTAGCGAGGTTACCTCAAATTCTCCTCACGAAACCACTTTCCCCCCAGGAGGCATCCGGGCTCTAATGGGTTCCTAGAGACGAGCTCCTTGGCAACGGTTGCTAGGCCGTGGACACGTCACTTCCGGTGGGGAGGGTCGGCGAGTTGCCGCGGGGCTCCGGTGCGGGCGGGCGCGCGCTCGGGAGGTAGGGGCTCAGGAGATGTGGTGCTGAGCGTGCGGAGCCCACGTGCAAACTGGGTTTACACGTTCTGAGCCGCTGCAGACAGCCTAGGGATTGGGGGGTTGTTACCGTGGCAATAAACTTTCCCAAACGTCCTGCAGTTGGCAGTTAACAAAATCCTCTCTTCATTATTAACCCGTTATTTAACCATGTTAAATGTGTCTTTTCTTTCCTTCCTCCTTTCTTTTCTTCCTTCCCTCCTTCCTTCATTCCTTCATTCACCAAAAATCGGTAATGACTTCTTTGTTTGAGGCAGGGCCGTTGGGATTTGGGTTGAGGAAGCATTTGGCCTGAGCTTCAAATTTAGATTTTTGACATAACTATCTCCAAATTAGGTTATACGTAGGAACAATTGTAGTCTCTGGTGGGATGAAAAGAAGACACATTCATCATAGATTTCAGCTTCTTTGTCATGTTATTAGGCCACACAGCCTGTAGTGGGAATTAATTATTTTTCATCCAAAATTTTTTAATATGCTGAGAGCCTAAAAGAATTAAAAAAAAAAAAAGTAAATGGCCTAAGCTCCTTTTGGCTTCTGAGAGCCTATTTTTAGGCACCTGCAGAAATGAGTAAGGTCCTACTTACATCTTCATGGAGCCTTCCATGAGGTAGGTGGGAGGAAATCTTCATGCCCAGGTCACAGAGGAGGCCAGGAAGACTACCACAGCAGACAGAACCCCAGGATTGCACCAACTGGCTGTAGGAGGAGACCTTAGTTGGTGAATGGTATTTTGAACAGCACCTATTAGACTGGAGACCGCTGTATGTGGTGATGTCAGCTGGCAATGAAGAAATGAGAAGGAATAAAACGAAATTCCTTACACCCTGAAAACTTAGTTGCCTGGTCAAACATCTTGAAAGAAACCAACTAAAGATTTAGCATCAGATTTACAAAAGAAAGCAAAACAAAACAAATTCCGAATTAGGTATCTCCTGTATGCCCTCCTCTGTGCTGGCTGGGGGGATGCAGTGGTGGGTGTGGAATTACCAGGCCTCTGTCCCCCTGGAGCTCACAGTCTAGTTCGGGAAGAGAGACAGTTGAACAGGCAACACTAATACAACTATGATAAATACTATAATAAAAGGACTCAATGATGGCAGAACCCAGATGTAGGGTCCCAACTTTATTTGGAGCTGTAGGGACCGTACTCTAAGGAGAGGTTCCATCAGACAGGGTGGTGTTCAAAAGTCAGTAAAAATTAGCCAAACAGAAAAGGGGAGAGTTATTTGGGCAGAGGGAGCAGGATGTTCCAAGATGGGTACACTGCTGGCTGCAGGGCACTTGGAGAGAAACTAAGACGGGTCCCAGTTCATAGCAGCTTAAAACTAGTTGGAAGAGGCAACATTTAAAACGTTGAAAAGTTAAATAACTTAAGTAAGGCTCGGAGTAACAATGAAAGATGCATACAAGGGATGAAATAATTGATCGATCCTGTTGGATGTGTTACAAGATTCCCCTGGCTGCCAGGATTTGAATCTTGGATCGCTGTTGTGTGGCCTCGCCTATTTCATTTCCTCATCTCTGAAATGTGGCTATCTATAATAATAATATCTTTCTAAAAGGGCTGATATGAGGATTGAGTGAGTTGATACAAGGAAAGCGATCAGAACAATGCCTGACATTAGAAGAGCTAAGGACATTTGCCCTTTTTTCCCCTTCTTTTAAAAAAATCAGATGGTTAGATATGCTTCTTCGATAGTCTACAAATGCAGGCTCTACAAAGATAAGGGTGGCTTTTCTAGCAGTTTTTAGTTCCTCCTCTGCCTGTTGCTGCTGTTATGGAAACACCACACATTTAAGTTATAAGAATTCAATCCTGTGTAAATTCAAGTAAGCAACGGAATCTACTCTTTGCACTCAAACTTGAGTTAATTTTATGCTTAATGTGATTGCTCTGAAACAAAGGAAAGAATCTGAAGCCCGTCAGCATGCTTCCTGGGATCCATATACTGAGAAGCATATTCCAACCTGAAGCAAAACAGAGAGACCTAGAGAGGCCTGCACATCTTGGGTCCCTGCCTATCTATCAGGCCCACACACAGGCCAAAGGAAGACTTGCTACCACCCCTTAATTCATTTAAGATAAAAAGATTCATTGAGGAGTCCAGGAAGAACTCTTTAGCAACAATTTTACCACAGTGAAGGCATTGCTGATTACATCCCAAGTGATGCCACCCACATGAAGACTTTTTTTCTCCTTAGATGCTTCCTTGTAAACCCTAAAGATGCCTCTTGGCTGAACTATGGTTGACGCTTTTAATAGGTGAAGAGAAGTCTCAGTCACAGGAGACAGACTTTCTGAAAGACTCCCACTCCTACCGTGACTTTTTTAATAGCTTATTAAGATACAATCCACATACATACAATTCACCCACTTAAAGTACACAACTCAGTTGCTCTTAGCATATTCACAAAGTTGCGCAACCATCACCGCTATCTAACCCCAGAACATTTTCATTCCCCACCTCAAAACACCCCATTCCCTTTAGCCATCATCTCCTGGTTTGCAATAAAAAAAAAAAAAAAAACCCTACCACTTCTCAGCTCCTGGCAACCACTATCTGCTTTTCTTTTCTATGGATTTGCCTTTTCTGGACATTTGATATAAATGGAATCATAAAATATGTGGCTCTTAGCATCTGGCTTCTTTCACTTAGTGTAATGTTTTCAAGGTTCATCCATGTGGTAGCAGATATTAGTACTTCATTCCGTTTTACGGCAGAATAATATTTCATTGTATGGATTTTTGATCATCCATTTACCTGTTGATGGACAGTTGGTATTTTTTTTTTTTACTTTTTGACTACAATGAATGGTGCTGCTATGAAAACTCACGTACAGACCTCCACTCTTATGGATAAAGCATTTCCATTGACTAAGTCCTGTGAGCAGGGTATGTACATCAGGGGCATGGGTAAATGGAGGGCTGGTCCTCTTGGATTTGTCTTTTCCTTTCCGGTCTTGTTAATTTTGGCCTCTTGGGTCCTCTGATTGCAGACAACAGGACCAAAGATGTAGATTCTTTAGCAGTTTTTGGTTGTAACAACAGACTGTTGTTGAAAACTACTCATCCTTTGCTACCAAAGCATTAAAATCCCCAATTTGCTTCTAAGCCAAAGCCCTTTCAGAAGAAAATGCTGTTATGTGGTATTATCCTTTAAATGTTCACCAATCTCCAGTGGAGGAGAGGGTGGGGAGAAGTGTGGAGGACATGAGAAAGAAAGTGGAAGCTGCCCCTTCTAGCTCCCTTATTTAACCTTGTAGATACGGCAAGGACCATTCACAGTTGTGAACCTCTAACTCTCGGTCAAGTGTTTTTTCAAGACTCAGTTTAGTACTAGATAAAAATATAGAGATTGGTCATCATTTCATGCAACTGTGAATTCCAAGTATAGTACTACCTTCAGGTATGGCTTGATCTAGGAGCTCAATGATGTCATCTTGACTTTCTCCCTCCATCTCTTTGTCTCTCAACTCCACTTTCCTGAGTGGGCTGTTAGTAACAAGAGGCTTCCATTCTTCTAGCCTAGCAAACTCAATAAAAGTAGACTCTTTGCTTAATAGTTCCAGCAAATTCCCTGGGCAACTCTCATTGGTCCAAAGTGTGTCAGACCATTCCTGAATCAATTGTTATGACTCTGATGGACATAGCAATAGACTGGGTAAGGATGGTTCCTCAAAAGGAAGGGCTGGATTCTGTTACCAGAAGTAGAGATACTATGCAAACAAGAACAACAGTCCTGTTCAGGTGGTCAGGTAAGGAGGTGGTTAAATCTTAAAAGCTGGGTAAGCAAAACCAGAAGAGGAAGAAATGAGATTGTACTTATATTGTGGGAAGTATGTGTATCAGTGTGAAACTTCTCCCTTATTTCCTTCAAACAAATTATCTTTTTTCAATGCAGACTTCCCCGATGGGCCAAATGGGGTCTTGGGATAACAGCAGACCCTCCAGGTCCCCACAAAAATCTGACGATGCCATGCACTTAATTTCTCCAGCCTCTTCTCATTTCAGAGCTTTCAAACAAGAACTTTCCTGTGCAGAGCACAGGGAATTCAAGCCAATTTTCTGTTTTTGGTATTAAATTTAGACCTTTCATCCTGACCATGAGATATTTCTGGATTCTGCACGAGTATTCAGCGAATGCCAGTTTTCAAGATGCTATCCCATCTGGGGCTACTCTGCACACTGCCCACTTTATCTCATTCTTTTAAAACTGGGAAAAATGACCCAGACACAGGAACAAATTCGGAAGTGGGTTATTCTGTCATCCATTAATTGTCATCTAATGCCTTTGCCATCTAGGTTACTTGGAGATGAAAGAAATTAAACTTAAATGGAAACTTGAATTGAGTTTTGCAGATATCCTAAATTGTCTCTGCTCTGGCAATTTAATCTTGTGAGTAGCAGAATGTGCTTTCCTAAAAGGTTAGAAGGTAAATAATATGTGAAACATTAAACTGAATGGATGAGATTCCAGAGCTCTTATTAAATGCCTGCCTGGCACATTTTTGTCAAATGGTTTTTTAAAATGGGTTTTGTGAGATTCATGGGCAGTGTAGAGGAGCCAAAATAATATGCAATTCATATTAGCTCCTTGGTTGTAAGTATGGGTTGAAGTATAGAATGCATCTAACACTCTTACTGGGCTCAAATAATAATTATGGCATCACTTACTGAGGGCTTACTGCATGTCAGAAACTTTGTTAAATACTTCATGTATGTGTCAGAATTTATTAAAATATCAACTATGTGTGTACTCCTTCTGCTTCCCCTCCTCTTAAACAATCTGCATCACCTTGAGTTTTTCAGGCTGAAATCAGAAGCTCTACTTCTGTCTTTTGTAAAGGTCTAAAGTCTTTGAGGGAGTTTATACTGGCTGTCATCAAAAGAGGACTGGAGAGAAAAGTTCCTTCCAGAGTAAGAAGATACAAGAGAGATGCTAAGAAGATTGGGAAAGGATCACATGTTGATAAATCTGGGGTGGCTCCTGAGAAGGTGGAAATAACCCCCAGGAGGCCACACCATGAGTCCAGTGGCTTCCAGTGTGGTCCAAGCTTTCCTTGTCTCAGGCCTGACACAAAGCATCAGTGCCACTGGACCTAAAAGGACCAGACAGCCTGGGATGATGGGTGGGTGACCAAGCAGTCACAGGGATGGGCCACTGACAGGAGATTGCAAGTGATTCTCTGAAGCTTTGTCACTGCAGAAGGGCAAAAGGACTTGGCAACCTCCAGGATATGTGTAGGGAAGAGATGCCCAGGAATGACAGGATGGGGCTTCAGAGCTGGAATTCAGTTGATTATAATACACTTCCTCTAGCAAATCTGAGTTGCGAACTGAAATGGGTAATCTCTGTATCAGTCAGCTTCCTGGCAGGATAAAGAAGGCACACTCTGGGCAACTGAGGAGAGCTTAAAAAACGACTATTTCTAAAGGTGTGGGTCAGGTTTATGGAAACCAACAAGGGTCCAGAAAACAAAGGCAGTCATTGCAGCCTAACCTGAAGCAGCCAGAGAAGGGAACAGGCCCCAGAAGCCCGACACAGAAGCTGTAATAGAAAAGGTTGCCCAACAGGAGCCTTTAGATGCAACCAGTCTTGACCTCACTCTCCTCCCACCCTCTGATCTCCTGCCTGGCCTCCTGTTAGCTAAACCCAACAGGGAACCAGAGGGGCAGGTATCCCTTGAAATCACTAGTGCACCCTGGCTTTCCAGGGAGAAAATGGCAAAGTGGGGATCTGGAGGGACAGAAGGAATGAATTATAAATTGAATTATAC